CGAAGGTCAAGGTCAACCCGAGTGAAGGTGCCGTGCCGCGTCAGGCCGCGCTGGACCATGGGAGCAGCCGCCGTGCCGGACGAACGACAAGGTGGGGCGGGGGGGGTAGGGATGGAAGGGGTGCGGCTATGGGTGTCACCATTACTACGCGACACCACCGTACCGTCATGTCGCGGTCTCCCCGCGCGCTTCTGACTCATTCACACAGCCACCCTCGCACAATAAGGAGAGAGAGAGAGAGAGAATGAGAGGGGAGGGGCGATAGGATGAGAGGAAGAGTGAGGGAGGAAGAGAGAGAGAGAGAGAGAGAGAGAGAGAGAGAGAGATTATGGCACGACGGGCGGTGGCGGCGGCGCTCGGCCAAAGAGTGGCGGTGCGTGGCGGCCAAAGACAATTGGAGGGGTATTCCGTAACTATTAGCGAAGGCGCGCGCATACCGAGCTGGCCAAGGACACCACGGCGCCGGGCCACCAGCAGCGCGCCCCCCACGGCGCACGCTCAATGACGTACAGTAACAGTACCCCCCCCCCCCCACACACACAAACTTTTTTCCTCTGTGTGATGCACACTTACTACCTCTCGAACGGCCAAGTTACACACTCACGCCCTCATTGTGTTAAATCATAGCTGGACGCGACGACTCGCGTGGACTGGCTTTAGTATCCTGTGTGATTTTTCATATGCGCGGCATTTTCATTCCAGTCTAAAGTCGAGCTCAAAATTTTAAACTCCTCTAACTTTAGACTGCTGGAATGAAAGTTGAGCTTTCGACGGTTTTATCAGTTTGACTGTAGTAGTCGCTTTAATAAGCAGTGCATATCGTCACCCTTGTGGAAGCGCCCGTGGGGGTGGGCCGCCCGGGCGGGCAGCGACGCGTGGCTGGGCTGCCTACCCTCCCGACCGCAGGCGCGCGGCCGCCGGACCCGTCCCCACCCCACCACGCTGCAGCGGCACAAGCAGTGCTCCCGGGCGCCCTTCCTTACCGCTCGAGAGTATCGGGATGACATTCGTAACGTAGGGCCCCGTGCGTTAACATTATGCACGGGGTAGCTGAGCGAAGTGTATTAAATTTACAGAAGACGTAAAAAACAGAACAAAACTATACCGAATAAGGGTCCGCCTAGTAGGTAGGCAACCGTTGATTGAGGGGGGGGGGGGTCGCTTCCAATTACTGCGTCTCTTTTTTTCTGATTTTTTTCTGATTATTTTGATTTTCTTATGATTTTTTGTCTGATTTTTTATGATATTTTTTAAATTTTTCAAATGATTTTTTAATGATTTTTATGATTTTTCTCAGTTTTTGTTCAGTGAAGTACCCCACCCCCACCCCCAACCCGTCCTGCCAGCCGGACCTTCAACCGCGGCCTGGTCTGGTTAGATCGCTCTAATCACCACCAGAGTTCAAATCCCTTACACCCCTCCTCTACAATAGGTACTTTTAGTGAGCAGTGAGCTTGAGTAAAAGGCTTGAAACTGGGAAGTCTG